TTTTTTACAACAAATTGTCCGTGTTTAGCGGCAAAAAGTTTTTTTACGATACACCAAATTTCTTGTATCTTCCACAGAGATTTTCAACCCTCGGATACCTTCTCAAGGTTGTATCTAATCCTTTATAATCTTATACATTGTTGGTCCCTCTCACCTTTTGACTTTCAATGTCAAAAATGGGGAGAAATGGACCTGAAACGTGGATATCTTGTTTTACAGTGTTTATGATGATTGAAGCTATTTTGGATTTTTGACATTCAAAGGCAAAATGGGGAGATTGTTGGTCCCAACCTTTGTTCATAGTTTGCTCTTTAAATGTCAAAAGTGAGCTCACAAGTCCATTACTATAATATTCCATAATTTCTAGTGTTCTCAGGATGATTTTGATATATATAGGAGTAATATGGTCATTTTACATGAGAGAGCTCAATTAAAATACAATGAGAAAGGTACATTGTATCATAGTACATATTCGAGGCCAATCAAAGTCATTTTTCTAGTACACTGTATGTATTGAGGATTTTGTCACACTCAGGGGCATTTCAGTCTTTTCAAGTATTTGTGTTATCACTATATACTCACTTTTGGTATTACATTGTTATTCTGAGCTCAAGAATTTACTTACATGCTATTATACAGATTTACGTTCTATGTGATATTTGTCCTCTTTAATGGCATTTTGGTCTTTTTTGTGTATGTGATGCACATTACTGACACATGCTCTATGGTCCTACTGAGAGAAAGCTGTTGAACAAAATCACATTTCTTTGGCACCAAGTTTTTCATTCTTCATCTTACTACAGCTGGTGTGAATGTGTATGTGCTATGCAAAAGGTGTGTGCACTAGTGGACAAAACAATGACTTATGTAGGGACATTGTAGTCCTTTCACACATAGAATGTCAGAATATTCCTTTCCCAATGACTGGTATAATGAGCCTCAATTTATCCAAAAATAGGGCTACTTCAGCTACATTGTAGTAGTATATATATGTTGTTATATCAATCTACAGAAAGTGCCTCTTTGTGTGAATTGTGAGAGCCTTAATTAAGCCACATTGTGTATAATACTCAAGACAGTAAAAAACATGAATATTTATGAGTGTTTGATTCATTGAGAGACTGTAATTCACCTCAGATTTATATGTATTGAGTGTATACCATTGAAGATGAAGAATAATGCATTTTGAGTCTATTTTCTGGTGCAAGAAGCTGGTGCAAAAGCTTATTTCTAGTGTGAGGCAACCACGGGGGTTTTTTATAGGTTGAGACAAGTTTGTTTTGACAATATACAACTGTAGAAACTAGGTTTATACTTATACTTCATTGCAATAGATTTTTGTATCTCAGACCTCTGATTTGTGCTTTATTATTGGTTTAATGCTTCTGATATAAGTACTATATGTGGATATCTTGCTGTGAAATTCTTGAACAACATCTAAGAAATTTTATTTTGATAATTTGAGGCTGTATAAGTTGAGTTTTCAAAAGAGAAATGGTCATTTTTGGATTTGGCCTTTCATACCTTAACAGTTAGGGTTTTCTGTAGAATCAAGCCTGTTTTTGTGTTGATATTAATATACCTTGATATATTCATCATGTTTATCATCACAGTAAATGTATTTTGTTGAAATAAGGTTGTGGGAACCAAGGTTGGGTCTGTATTGAAGCTACATTGCATTTTAACATCTCAGACCATAGATTCTGCAGAAACTTGGTAAGTACTTTGTACTATTTTATATTTTGAGCTATGTTTTCATTTTGGACATTTGTAATAGCCATTGTATGTTGTTTATATATCTTTCATAAATATATTTGAAGAGTTGTGAGAGCTAATTTGTTCCAAACGGGGGTGCTTACGACAAAGGGAGTGTTATGTACACAAAGGTGAGCTAGAGTGTGTGCAAAGTGAGACAGCTAAGTGTGTATCAACTTGCAACACAACTAGTGGTTTTGCATTGGGTGTGTACACACCCAAGAACCAAGATTTTTTATCTCTATTGAAAGGGGTTTTACTTATAAAGTCTTTGTGTCATTGTGACTGTGAAATACTATCAAACACCTGTGATAGATTATGGTTTTATAACCCTGGTGATATCAGTGAGTAATCTTAACAAGCTGTGGTGGTTTACTTGGTTGAGAAAATTGTATAAAATTTGAAAAAGTGGAAAAACCAACTGACCCCCTCCCCCTCTTGGTTCATCAAAAGTGTAGGTGAAAAAATTTGCACGTATAAGAACGAACAATCTTACACCGATTACACTCAAAAATAGAGCAAAAATGTATTGTGAATATAAGATGATGCGACCAAACCCAGGATTGTCTAGGTTGCCTACGTATCCCGATTAGTGGGAATCGAACATAGTTCCGATGTGGGATTTACCCCTATTTTTGTATACAATATAACCTCTATAAATTAATACTCGATAAATTAATAATCTCTTTTAAATAATAAATTACATTGCTCCCAACTTGGGCCAAGGTACTAAATTAATAATTTCTCTAAATTTTTAAGATAATACATTTCAGAAATTCCCTTATAGGTTTCTATAGATCCCACTTATTACATAAATTAATAGTTTGGTAAGAAGTACATATAGGACTGACTATAATGTTGTTTTCTTGAAATACATTTAATCTTAATTGAATCTTTAAGACTATTGTGAAACTAACTATTTTGAAAGAAAAAATAATAATGTACATAAAATATTTTTTTAAATTAATAATTTATTAATTTATCGATAAATTAATATCTCGCTTCATTAATAGAATTTATGTAGTCCCAACACTATTAATTTATAGAGATTATATTGTATTTGTTCCTCCTTACTTTTGTTACTTCGTTGGATATTTATACAATATGTTGGAACCAATTCCTCTATTGTTCCTCTTTAATTTTCTTAATAGGACTGCAATCAAGCTGTTGATTACTTTGGGATTATTTTGAGTTACGTCTTCCAAGTCAAATCTCATCTACCTCTCAAAATGAACGGTGAGAATTTGAGTTTCCAAATGAGCAAAATGAATGTGTGAACGATAGTATGTGTGAGTTTCTTGTCATTGAAAAAATAAATAAAAATAGTAAATAAGAAGGAAAAAAAAAAAAAAAAAAAAAAAAACACAACTAAAAAGTGGTTGGATTATGAAGTTCATCACAGCCTTTCAGTCTCAAGCCCATACTAGATAGGCCCAGTGAGGGCCATAGATAGACTTTCATGTATGCATCTCTGGTGTAAAAAGCGATGAGATGATGCTGATTAGGTACATGAAAGTCTATATATGGCCCTCACTGGTCCTATCTAGTATGGGCTTGAGACTGAAAGGCTGTGATGAACTTCGTAATCCAACCACTTTTTAGTTGTTTGTTTGTAGGTTCTGTTTGGGAAGAAGGAAAACGAAATTGTAAGAGAGAATTTTTAAACACCTCACTTATTTTACTAATCTGTCCTTTGCTTGAATATGTACTCTCTTTGTGGTCTAGTGGAAGTTTTCTCGATAGGGTTGGTTTTTTTGGTGGGTGAAAGTAGAGAATTAGGCTTGCTTGCAAATGGGTAGCAGACAAAGTATTGCTTATGCTCTTCCTACTCAGTCTTGGACTCAAAATCCTCTTACGCTCTATAATGTATCAATCTCGCCTTAAGGAAAAAATATTGAGATACATCTTAAGAAAATATTGAAATATAAACTAAAACGTTACAATATTTTCGTAACGTATTACTAATTCTTGTCACTACTGAGACATTATAACACTGTAGCCATGAGAAAATTTTAATCCCTCAATCTTCACCCATATATCTCCGCCCGTTAACCATTACAAAAAAATTATAAATCATTATTATTCCCTTTATCTTATGTTATAAGTCCATTTTTCCTTTTCAGGTTCTTATTTAATAAGGCAAATTAAAAAATATATTATTATTTTTAATTACCTTTTAAATTTTCAAAAAATTCTAAACTTGATAATATACACATTAAGAATTAAAAAGACAACATAATAATTTTATAAGATAACAATGCATTAATTGTATGTCTCTTCAAAAAATTATAATATCAGACAACTAATAGGACATAGAAAGAGCAATTATTATTTGGTGGTCCGCTAAATTAGAATTTATATTTACTTGTACTGTTATATTTAATTTTTAATGATCCATTTCTTTAAATGGAGAGTTATAATTAAAAAGAACCATAAAATTAATCTCAACACGCTAAAGGTTTGTAGCCTACTTGTAACTTCCAAAAGAGAAGGTAAAGTATTGAGTTTCTTATCAAGGAGTAAAAAAAAATTTTTTAAATTAAAAACTTGATCTCAAAACTATATATATATATGTAAGTATGAAATATGAAATATACATATACATATTTCATAATTCTTCCCATTTTATCAACTAACATATCATAAATACTGATGAAATTACCCTCAGGAGCAGGGACGGACCCAGCAGGGGACTAGGGGGGGCAGATGCCCCCCCTGAATTTTTAATATTTTTATTTTATACCCTAATGTTTTTAAAATTTATGAAAATACCCCCCCTAAAATTACAATTCGCCCCCACTGGATTCTTTTTTTTTTAGCATTTTATATTTCAAATTTTGATAATTTATGAAGATGCCCCACTATAATTATAATTTGCCCCACTGATTTTTTTTTTTTTCATTTTATACTTAATTTTTTTTAAAATTTATGAAAAAAAACCCTACTAAAATTACAAAAATAAACCCATCATATAATTTTGTACCCACAAATTAAAAATTCGCCCCCCCTCACCAAATTTTCTGGGTTCGTCACTGCTCAAGAGTCAAGAGTCCCTCCTCTAGTCCTGACCATGTCACGTGCTCAGCATATGACATGACCCCACTGTTGAGTGTGTGAGAATGAGACATCCTTTTCTTTGCATTTATAGTGTGAGTTATGCATTTACACTCCTTGCTACGGAAGACAAACTAGAAGAATCTCTGAGACCCACAGACAACCCACATACATTTTGCCTTTGTATCGCCATGGCTGCTGCAGGTTGGTGTAGTTCCGGCATCGGAAACATCGGTTGGAGCCGAAGAATCTCTGAAAATGGCTATGATCGATCTGTTTCATTCAACATCTCCATGAGAGGATCAAAAGCACCTATCTGGAGAGTGTTGTGGAGGAAGATAAGGAGAGAGAGGCAAAGAATTTTTGACAATTCAGCTACATTGCGGTTCGCTTATGATCCATATAGCTATTCGCAGAATTTCGATCAGGGTTCTATGTTGGCTGATCTTGATGACCTCTCTCGATCGTTTTCGGCTAGGTTTGCTGTTCCATCTAGGGTCTTTGATCAGCAGAGTGAATTGAAGGGTTGATGAACGATATGCTCAAGAATGTAGTTTTATGCTTGAATGTTATAAATTGATCATTTATATTGGATGTTCATGCATGTACTGTTTATATAGCTGATGAAATAACATATGGCAGATCTTTGTAGATGGTGTTATCGGAAAATTTTATAATGTCCCGGGGTGTTTTACCCCGGTTCTCCTAATTTTGCAATTAGGATGTGATGGTGGAACCCACGGTTGATCCAACGACTAATAGACCGTAAATACTGTATGTATGTGTATTATACGTCAAGCATCTAGATGTCGAGCATCTAGATGTTATTGAATCTCTTAAAATTAAATAACATAAGGCATCTCCCTCTATCTTTGTCAATGGTGTTGTCCGAAAATTCTAAAATACCCTGGGTACTGTATCCCGGGTCTCCTAACTATTGAAAGTGGGTGGTGAAACTCACTTGATAGATAATTCAACAACTAGAAGACCTCATATACCATACCCCTATGTATTATAGAACGTCTTGGTGTTATCAAATCTCTTAAAAATAACATATGTATCTTTCTCTATCTTTTTCAACAGTGTCGTCAGATCGACAATTCTAAAATATCTCGGGTACTATACATCGGATCTTTAAATGTAGTGATGGGACCCACTTGATGAATGATCCAACGACTAGGAGATTCTGAGTATCGCATTCTTGTGTATTATAACGTCTCGGTGTTATTGGATCTTTTAAAATACTTTATAAATCTATTACCGAACACATACAATCTCCAAATCTCATATACAATGAGCAATTATAATTCCATCCATCATGGAGCACATACAATGTACCATATACCCGGAGAAAAATTCTCTCCATCTATTCATCTTGCTTTCCTGGCCTCGCTAGATCTTATCCTGGAGTTATTTCTATTGAAGTTGAAGCAAGCAATAAATTAAGCTTTTAAGGCAAAAAGAATCTAATTAAAGCATTTGTTTTTTTGTTTCTTTAATATATACTTATAAAGAAACTAGAAATTTTATATATCTTAGTGTCTGCAAATGGATATTAGTGATTGTCCTCCTCACTAGTTATATCAAGTATCCAAAGGGGTTAGGTATTTTAAATCTTTAAGTGGTGATCTTATAATTTTGTTCTACTCCTAGACTAGGCAAATTGACAAATTAATACCACTAGGGTTTATAGCCATAAAATCATCAATTCTCTGCTCCTTTAGACTAATTTACCTATAATAGTTTTCAGAATTGCACTAATATTTAAATGAAAGGGAACTTTCAATAGGTGGTCCACTACCAACAAATTTATCTAAAAAAGTGCATCCATCTAAGCATGTGCCTCTTGAGAAACTACTCCAGGACTAAGTAACATGGAGTTGGATATGTGTATTGGGTGTGAATATATATATATATATATATTTGAGTGTCAAATTCTTAAACATAAAGAGATGCATGGTACATGACTGTGACACATAATAATGAATGAACTTTTCACCTGTCCCCCTATTTTAAGAAGATAAATTAGTAGAGATTAGGTCCACGTTCGGTTCAATTTTTTAAAAATAATTTTCAAAAATTTAAAAATAGAAAAAAAATTAATATTTTTCATAAATGAGATAATTTCATCGAACAAATTACACAATCACTACAATGGAATGATTGATAAAGGGAGGGAAAACCCCCCATTTAACTAAGGTTTAATTTTCCCTTTTAACTAAGTTTTTAAAATATAATTTTCTTTTTAATATAAAAACTACTCTCAAAAAATCGAACCAAACAAATCATATAATTTTCAAGGACAAACATGCTCGGAGAGTTGGGCGCTTTATCAATTAAGTTACTGAATAATGTTCAAGTTAAGTTTTAAAAATACAAAGTGAGAAAAATACCCCTAATATTCAAATTTTGGGCAACTATCACTTCTAAGGTTTTTTCTGGGTATATAAATGCGTTAAATTTATAAATAAAATTAAAAAAAAATGATCAAAGAATGACTTGAGATCACTATTTAGTTACAAATTTAGTAATGTGTATTGCAGCACTTGATATTTTTAAAATATAAAATTCTAAAAATACCATTTTCTCTTTTAATAATGCCTTTATATATAAGAAAAAAAAAAAAGGGACACTTTAGTCATTTCACATTTAATTATTTTTTTAACCTTTTTTTTTATTGAGTAATAGAGGGGCATTTTAATCTTTTTATCATTCAGTCTTTTATTTGGTCAAAAATTAAATATTAAAATTTTTTAAAAATTTATATGCCGGTGTTGTTTTTACTCAAAATGTTTTGAAATAGAGAGGTACTATTTCATGATAAATTTGAATTCATCTATTTGGCTAGTGCTTTTACTTCGTATTTTTTGCTTTTGCTAATATACTGTAGCGAAGCAGAAACACGAAACATGTTTGATAATATTTTATGTGCTTTTGAATAATACCGAAACGCTTCTAAAATTGAGGCCAAAATTAAAATTATCGAAATGATTGATTTCGCACTGTAACAAAGTACTGTTCAAAATATATATATATATATATATATATATATATATATATATATATATATATATATATTTCTAAAATAACATTTTTGACTAACCATTTAAATTTTCAAACTTGCAATACTTTTTATTGAACATGTTTTCATGTTTTTACTTTTAAAAATCTTGTAACAAATTTATATTACCAGACTTCTAAATAGTGTTGAACACATTCTAAAAATAAAAACATTGTTTCTCTTTCGAATCAAAACATAAGTGCAAAGTAATTGTAATTTTCAAAGAGAACTAACTACTTCATGTATATGATACTAAAAGTAAAATTATATAATACACAGTACACAACATATCCTTTCCGAAATCCCACACGATCAAAATGTGCAGCGACTTTGTTGTGGGCTTATTAGACAAGTCATAGTGCGACCATAACCTTTCTGCAAAAACATTAATGATTTGTGCAACTCAATTAGGATTTGGGGTGGACCACATCTTAAGAGCCAGATGTCACGATCCGATTCCTAACGACGCCATGAGCATAGAAGATACGCATGCTGGTTGGCTAAGAACATTCATTGACTGGGAATGGTTCCAGGGAAAGGGCGTGCAGGACCACAGGATGGTACCTCTTCAGAGTTCAGGCAGGTCAACTCGGTTCAGTTCGAGGTGCTTGTCGCTGGTCGTGGACTTGACTATGAAGAAGGGAGTTGGCCATCCCTGCACAAACTGGTCGGGAGCTGGAGCCGTTCCCCTGACGAGGCCATGGCAGGCCGAAACCAGTCAGCATATATCCTTGGGAGGGCAGGTCGTGGTGGCTGATCAGGGCGCTTGCGCGAACTGAAGCAACGCCTTGGTGCCGCACGGGCCGTGCCGCTGCGCCAAATCTCTAGGCCCGTGACACAGAGCTCACATTTACACCCCTGAAAATAAGGCTCACTGTCTATATATATATATATACATACATACATGTTGGGGCAAAAAAAATTAATGGGGTCCCTCCCCCTTTATTATATATATATATACATATACATGTTGGGGGCAAAAAAAATTAATGGGGTCCCTCCCCCTTCAACCTCGAATGGAATCATGGATCTCTCTCATGCATATGCTTGGAAGTTGGAATTCAAGTCCACTGTCAACAAAATTTTATGGCCAAACTAAACAAACAAACAAACTAAACAACTCCAACTCATCATTAATTTATAATTGGTGACTAAAACTAAACATAATTGGTGTAAAATGACCATAAAATAAAAAAAAAGGTGAATAGTCACCAAACTTAAAACTTAATTACTAATAAGTGACCATTTGATGATTTATTACCTAAATAACCTTCTTATAATATATTATTATGTAAGTGGACAAACTTACCTAGTACATTAAACTAAATAAACACGTTCTTAAATTGACTAACAAATAAACCACATCTTGTCATTCAGAAAAAAAAATGATATATTAAAGCAACAAAATGAGAAGGACCTGCCTCTATAAATATTATATAAAGAGCATGTTGGGATGAAATTTCTTTTCTTGATTTGTCACTGTAAATATTATGTTTTGTGATTATGGTGGAAAACCTTGGAAAAGAGAGAAGGGTGGAGAAGAGAATGTTCGTAAAGAAACCCTAATTTTTTAAATTGGTAAATTGGAAACTAAAAAGGAAAAAAGAAAACATTGGATGAGAGAGAGAGTAGGAGATGAATTCAATGAGCTATTATTTGTATTAGATGACAATTTTGTCATCTAAAATTTATTTTTAAATGTTTTTGACCAAATTATCCTTAAATGGTCACTTAATATTAATTAAGTTTCAACATTAGTCACTACGCATCTTTTCTTAACTCTAAGGTCACTATAAAGCAATTATGTTTAATTTTGATCACCAAAATATAATTTTCCCTTTATAATTATACAAGGATAAAGTGCAAAAAAATCTCTTTCTTTATAAAAAAATTACAAGAAACACCTTATGTTTAAAAAAGTGCATATAAATCTTTATAATTTGAAATTTTTTGTGCAAATTGCTTCCTGGTCAATAAATTTGACCAATCATTTTTGTAAAATACCCTTAAGGGAATTTTCCATAATTTTTTTTAATAAATAAAAAAATAAAAAAAAATTTAAAAAATAAAAATAAAAATAATAAAAAATAAATTTGGTATTTTTATAAAAAAAAAATTGTAAAAATGCCCTTTCTTTATTATTTTTTTATTTTAATTTTATATTTTTTAATTTTTATATTTTAAATTTTATATTTATTTTTTATTATTTTGATTTTTTATTTTTTATTTTATCTTAAGGGCATGTTAGCTAAATTTGAAATATATAGGGGAATTTTTTCGAACAACAAAAGGTATTTGCACATTCTATATATAGCAAACGATTTTGTTATACTTTATCTATTTTTATAAACTTGTCATTTAGAAAAATTCACTTGCTAATGACAAGTGTACGAATTAAATTTTAAATATAATAATAACAGTCACTTTGTGCAAAAAAAAAAAAAAAAAAAAAAAAAAAAAAAATTAATA